GGTAATATAGTTATCATTATTGGTGTGAACGCAAATATAATTTTAGTTTTTGTTGTGAGCGCTAATATAGTTATTGTTATTGGTGTGAACGTGAAATATAGTTATCGTTATCGTTGTGATCGCTAATATAGTTATTGTTATTGGTGTGAATGTTACTATAGTTATCGTTATTGGTGTGAATGTTAATATAGTTATCGTTATTGGTGTGAACGCGAATATATTTTTAGTTTTTGTTGTGAACGCTAATATAGTTATCGTTATTGTTGTGATCGCTAATATAGTTATCGTTATCGGTGTGAACGCGAATATATTTTTTGTTTTTGTTGTGAGCGCTAATATAGTTATTGTTATTGGTGTGAACGCTAATATAGTTATCGTTATTGTTGTGAACGCTAATATAGTTATTGTTATTGGTGCGAACACATATATTCTGTTATCGTTATTAGTGAGATTGCTAATATAGTTATCGTTATTGGTGTGAACACTAATATAGTCATTGTTATAGTTATTGTTATTGGTGTGAACGCTAATATAATTTTTGTTATTGGTGTGAATCAGTGGTGGACAGTAACGGAGTAGCTTTACTTCGTTACTGTACTTAAGTACATTTTCAAGTATCTGTACTTTACTGGAGTCGTTTTATTTTTAGTAACTTTTACTTCACTACATTCCAAAGCATAAGATCGTACTTTTTACTTCACTACATTTCATGAAACATATCGTTACTTCTTATAATATATCACGTGCTCCGACACGGAGAACGAACTGATTCTTTTCAATGAACCTTTTAAATCGGTTCGCAAATCGCACCAAACGATTCATTCACTAATTAGAATGATCTGATTGCAGCTGTTCTCGAGTCGACAACTCACTGATTCCGCAGAAGCGGTATCTGATTCAAGAACGAACTGATTCTTTTCAATTAAACTTTTAAATCGGTTCGCAAATCGCACCCAACAATTCACTGACGAATTAGAATGAACCGATTGCAGTTGTTCTCGAGTCGACAACTCACTGATTCAAATGAACTGTTTAGTGCGAGTCTCCAGTGAACTAAATTCACAAGACAAGTAAGAACCGGGAGATCTTGTGAGAGCGCGAGCGACTGATGCTGCTAAAAGTAAGTTACTAATATCGAATTTTAGGATTAATTATTGTAACTGAAAATCATATTTAGGTCAAAACTGTCAGTTGTTTGTGAACTAAATCTGCCAGACAGAACAACGTAAGTGTCTCTATTTTAGTTTAAAAAAAAACGAAACATTAAAATAACACAGGCTAAATAAAATAACTCATGCACGTTCATATTCCCCGCTGCCGTAACGTTAACGATGAGTACTTTTACTTTTACTGGAGTAATATTTTATTATAAGTATCTGTACTTTTACTCAAGTACTTGATTTGTGTACTTCGTCCACCACTGGTCTGAATGCTAATAAAGTTATAATTTTTGGTGTAAACGCTAATATAGTTATCGTTATTGGTGTGAACACTAATATAATTTTTGATATTAGTGTGAACGCTAATATAGTAGTTATTTGTGACGTAAACGCTAATATAGTTATCCTTATTGGTGTGAACGCGAATATATTTTTTCTTTTTGTTGTGAACGCTAATATAGTTATCGTTATTGGTGTGAAGGATAATATAGTTATCGTTATTGGTGTGAATGTTAACATAGTTATCGTTATTGGTGTGAATGTTAATATAGTTATCGTTATTGGTGTGAATGTTAGTATAGTTATCGTTATTGGTGTGAACGCTAATATAGTTATCGTTATTGGTGTGATCGGTAATATAGTTATCGTTATTGGTGTGAACGCTAATATAGTTTTCGTTATTGGTGTGAACACTAATATAGTTATCGTTATTGGTGTGATCGCTAATATAGTTATCGTTATTGGTGTGAACGCGAATATATTTTTAGTTTTTGTTGTGAACGCTAATATAGTTATCGTTATTGTTGTGATCGCTAATATAGTTATCGTTATCGGTGTGAACGCGAATA